AAGAGCTACCCATTAGTTTAAAATAACAATAACAACATTCCAATAAATGAGATGAAAGATTTGTATCCACTCTGCCTTTGAGCCCCTTTTAACCGTGAGTGACAAGGCAGTAGCCCAGGCTGGGACCCAGCTTCCCAGGTTGGCAGTTTTCCAGCCCTTAACCCTTTCACTAATACTGACATGCTGGGGGGCAGGCTGAGGGGGTGCATTGACAGGCATTCTATAGCCTCTGCTGTGTGGTGAGTACCCCGCAAGTCACCCGTGCACTTCTCTGCCCTCCCTGAGTTGCATGGGGCACACTTTGCCTTCCCCGTCTGTCCCAAGCTGCTGTCTCTTTGTAGCCAGTGAGACTAGTGCAGCGTAGCACTGCCAAGAGTCGAGGGGTACTTGACAGGCACTGGTTCGGTCTGGAGCTGCAAGTTTTAACTCCTGGCTAAAGTGTAATCACCCCCTATCTAAAAATTCTGCTGTGCAAGTAAACTGCTTGTTTGGATACTGTGGAAAAAAGTAAAAAGAATTTTTATCTATTCACATTAGAGCAACAGTCTCAACTGGAGATAATTTTGTTTCCCACTCCAGCAACATGCGTTAATGCCTGGAGACAGTTTCTGTTGTCCAGGGCATTGGAGCTGGGGTTTGCCACTGGTGAGCAGAGGCCACCGAGGCTGTGAACCATCCTGCAATTCGTGGGACGGCCCCCAGCAAAGAATATGTGGCCCAAAACGTGCACCTTGCTGAGGTTGAGAGGTCTTGTCCTGGAGCTCTGGATTAGATAACATCCTCTGCTACCCAATTCATTAAAGAATGAATCTTTTTTCCCAATGTAACAAAAAGGAAACAGTGAAACAATACTTAGGTTCAGAATGAAACACAAGTATCTAATGTAATAATAAAATAAATACAGTAAATCTTACCACAATGTTGGGCTGTTTCCTCAGTTCCTGAACTGCCCTTGACCTTGGAAGGTCTGTGTGTTCTTCCTGTTTGTTACTTTGGTCAATGCTTTATGTCTCTTAACTGATCTTTCTCCGCCCATATGGTTTAGTATCTCAGCCAACTCTCTAAACAAAAACTGCCCATTGCATTTACCTTTGTAGGAGCATAAATTCTATTCCTGGAGTGAATCATGAGCTGTGAGGCCTTCATAATCTGGCCACCTGTGTCCTCTCTGAATCCCTCTCCTCCAGCCAAATGACCTCCTTGCCGCTTCTCACCCCTTCCCTGAGTGCAGCTGCCTCCAGCCTTTGCCCTGGCTTCTCCCTCCTCCGAAAGCCCTTTCCCAGTCATCTGCAGGGCTTGCTCCCACTTGCTTTCTCATTGAGCTCTTTCCTGTTCACCTTCTTTAAAATCTCGGTGTCCCTAGCTCCCCCTTCTCTGCTCCATTCTCACCACCTTCCCCTGCTCTGCTCTTTCCCTGGTTCTCACCAGAAGGATCCAGCACTCTGTGTTTGCTCATTGATTTTCTCTCACCCACACTAGAACGCAAGCTCCGTGAGAGCAGGAATTTTCTTCTCCACTCTTTTGTCCTGAGCACCTAGAATAGTGCCCAGCATGGCACAAAGCAGGCTCTCAGTGAGCACTGGTGGAGTCAGAGAAGCAACTGAGAAGTAGGAGAAGCAGGCTCAGGCTCAGCTTCGGGATCAGATTTTGTTTACTCTCTGCGGATCCTTGTATTTCCTTTGTTGTTATGACTGAGATGTTTTATTTACTCACCGTTAATCATGTCTTTTTTACAGTCAGTCATATCTGTATTTTCAATTCTGTCTCTCTTTTAAAATCAGAAATTATAGTAATTTATGGAGTAAATTACAGGGAGCACAGATACGCATTAGACAATATCTTGCAATACGGAGTGCTCCTTTTATTTTAAGGAGAATTGCAAGTACAGGTCTCAGAGTCAGATGTTCTGTTGGAAGAAGCTGCAAAGGCTCTTGAAACATTCTGTAATTAGATTAAAATGACTTTTTTTTTTTTTAAAGAAGATTGCAAAACCTTTTGAAATACTAGAAAGTATCAGTATCTAACATGCATACTTGGGGTATTTTAATATAATGTCTCATGAGCATTTTTTCTTTCTACATTATCTTGAATGATGGCGTGATGCGGCTTTATGTTGCATGCTAATCACTGTAATTTTAAAAATTATTCTGATAATAGTGGATATTTAATTGCTTAGCCGCGAATGTTCTTTTTGATAGATGATAATAGCTAACCTCTGATGCACTTTACGTTTAGTCCTCACTATGTCCTTTTGGGATGGGGACCGTTATTTTTTACATTTTATCCAAGGTGAGGTCCCAGGAGCACAGGAAGGTGAAGAGCAGGAGCTGGGCTTCGCCCCCAGGCAGCCAGCTTCTCAGGGTAGTGTGTGTGTGTTTGCGTGAGTGTTTCTGTTTCCACTGAGTTATTTTCTTTAACTTCCCTTGGAGGATGGTGGATTAAATAGTGTGACCATCTTCTTCTGCAATTAGCTTCAGAAAAGGAGCTATTTGACATCTTCTCATAATGACCACTATTTCTCTTTTAGAATTTTTATTTTTGGACCTGATTTTTCTTGGTAAACACTCCAGCTTTAATAACAGTGACTCTTTTTTTTTTTT